CAATTGAGCGAGGAAACTTTCTCTCTCATAGATATTTCTTTTATGTATAACATAAGCCGATTAACAATTGAGCGGAAGAATTTTCTCTCTCATATGTAGTGCTTTTAGGTATAACAAAATAAACCGGCTAGCAATTGAGCGGGGAAATTTTCTCTTTCATATGTAGTGCTTTTAGGTATTAGAAGACAAACTTGCTAACAATTGAACAAGAAAACTTTCTCTCTCATATGTAGTTCTTTTAGGTATAAGATAAGACGGCTAACAAATGAGCAGAATAATTTTCTCTCATATGTAGTGTTTTTAGGTATAAGAAGATAAGTTTGCTCATAATTGAGCGGGAGAAATTCTTCTCATATGTAATGCTCTTAGATATTAGAACATAAGTTTGCTAATAATTGAACAAGTTAATCATTACCAGTGAATGGAAACATCATTAAAAGTAAAAAGAATGAGAATCTTTAAAAAATGTGATGTTTTGTTAAAAAATCAACATATTGAAATAATTTCTTTACAAAATGTAACTGACTCGAAAAATGTAAATATACTTGAATGTGGTACTATTTTATACTTTAAATTCTGTGTATGCAAACAAGACAGACACACAAAACATGCGAGTTTTTGGGGATTTAAAAGTGATTTATACTTTGTTGTTAGAACTAAGGAATCAACATTTTATAAGGAAAGAATAGACTAATACAAATACAATATTACCCTATTTAATTCTACATAATCTCTCATATGAATGTGAAATTTTACATAGAAATGTAAGATCTCATTACACATGCTTTATCAAAAAAATGTCACAATGTTGAAAACAATATCAATATTTTATTCTTACTTTATAAATTCAATATCAACCATCTAAACACACTTACTTTTCTTAATAATCGTACCACCTCCTCATGTCTCAATATTAGTAGGACGGAGGTACATAAGTATTAGAAGATAATGATCGATGAGTGAACTTTCTCTCTCATAAACAAATCTTTTTAGTATAACATAAGCCGGCTAACAATTGAACGAAATATTTCTCTCTCTCATATGTATATAAAGATAAGTTGGCTAACAATTGAACGGGAAAATATTCTTTCTCATATGCAGTGTTTTTAGTAGAAATATATGCACCATCTGCTATTTCCCGTGCGTATGCACGGGTACTGTACTAGTTTACTAAAAAACTAATCTAATTTGCGAAGCAGATAATGCGTTGTCCTTCCACTAAGACACCTCTCAAGTGTCTACAAAGTCCATTTTCTGACTCAATATGAAATTGATGTAGTGATTGTTAACCTTACAATTTGCATTGATTATGATTAAATCACCAAGCTTGTTTCTACTAAGTACTCAGATTATGAGAGAGAAATCATCTCATCAGGCCGGCCTGACGGGCTGCCCCGTCCGGCTGAGCCCGTTTGGGCACCTTCCCGGTGGAATTTTTTGATGAAATTTTTTGAGCATGTTCCTCATCAAGTCTAGTTTGTCCATACCAAATTTCAGCTCAAAATTCGATCGGGAAGGTTGTCAAATGATTTTTGCAAGTTAACTGGTCCGGAATATGTATTTTCCGGACCAGTTAACTTGCAAAAATCATTTGTCGACCTTCCCGATCGAATTTTGAGCTGAAATTTGGTATGGACAAACTAGACTTGATGAGGAACATGCTCAAAAAATTTCATCAAAAAATTCCACCGGGAAGGTGCCCAAACGAGCTCGGCCGGACGGGGCAGCCCGTCAGGCCGGCCTGATGAGAAGAGCTCTCCTCAGATTATTGGTTATACCCGGCCTTTCTCAACAGTCCATTACTCCAATTTTAGGCTCTGAGGGTATTTGGAAATGATTCTGCTAGAAATGATTCTGCTTCTTTTTTAAAGCAGAATCAGAATCAGTTTTTAGAATCTGATCTTACTCAGCTTATAAAAACATTCTTCTATGAGTAAATTAGAGCACTATAAGTAATTATACACTTTCACCCAAATATTACAACTTCTGTTTCTGCTCTCTGAAGGAGCAGAATCCGTTTTAAGAATAATATCCAAACAACCCTTTGACTTTCCCGTCGCTCTTTAGACAAATCCCTACTACATAGTGATGCAAATTGATCAAACTATTTACTCATTATTTTGTGCCAATCTGTCTATGTACTTAATGATGGACAACTTAAATTTATCCCACGTACAAAACTACCTCATCTTACATTTGGACAATTGGACCCGCCTTTATGGAGCTAGTTAGTGTCATAGCCGGTTCTCTACTCCATCGGTATCACACATTAGAAACAACTAACTTTTGCTTAATCAAAGATGAATCTTGTAAATTATGATAATCATGAAATCGAGTTTTGTTAAGGTCTCAGATTTAATCTCCAACACCGATAATGTTAAGTTTCATTCAATGCAGCGCCTCCTTGTATGTACATACTAAGTTTAGAATTACCTTTCTTAAAGTGTCTGAAAACATATTGGACTGTGATTTACTCTTGCACTATTCTATCGGGTCAAGATGCAGGCTCCTGAGTTGGATAATTCAACGAGTCTTGTTGGTCATCTCAGAAATTAATGTTTTCCCAAGTTATGTGAGGTATTTAGTTGGGGGTATGAGTTTTGAGTTTTGAGTGACATTTGGATCTTTGATCCCTTTTAAGAAGAAGTTGTAGTAGTAGTAGTCCCTAATCATTCAGAAGTATCTTAAAGGTGGGGTAGTTGGTAGACTGAGTCCTGACTACTCGTGAAGACTTACTACTCGGAGGGCTTGGAATCCCTTTTAGGGGGTGTGCACACTTAAGGTAGTCGTTTCGTTTCCATTAAGCAGTTGTGGTACCGGCAAAAGTCCCGGGGTGTTACAAATGGAAGACGAGCATCCTTGTATCGGAGAAAGAAGTACCGATTCTTCCAATCATGAATTGAGGATGGCGCCCCACTCAAAAGTTTCCTCTTGGGACGTGCGGCTACGCTCAGAAAACCGTCAAAGTTATGGGGGGTGAGCCGGAAGAAGTAGTGGAACAAATCCAAAGTCACGGTGACCCCCTTCGCTTTGCACCGAACAAGGAAGGTCGAGATAAACCTGTATGAGTTGGGCATGAACTGGGCAGGGGCCACCTGGAAGCAGTGGAAGAACTCCACATAGAATGGGTGAAGGGGAAAACGCAGCCCGGTCTCGACTGAGTCTAGATTCAGCATAATCATCCCCGGACGTCTCTTCATCATGTGAATTTCACCCCGAAGGCTGTAGACGAACAGCGGGGGGAAGAAAACCTTGAGCTTGTTTAGGGCCACGACTGAGAAGACTTGCTCATGGCCACGTACATTCCGGATGGCTGTGATGTGACGCTCCACATCCACAGGGAGACCCCTGTCGTACACCTCCAAGTCTGAGCCACTTCGGGCCTCATTCCCTGAGTTGTAATCGGCAGGGCGTTCGTCCAGGGGGACAACAGGCGCGGCATCGACAACCATGTTATCCCCAGCATCTTCAGCGCTGGCGTTATCATCCTGGGCCGTGCTGGTAGGGGTGGCATTTACCGCCACATTCCCCGGGGAAGAAACTTCGTCATTTGCGCCATTGGCCAGTATGGTTCCCACGGTGGAGGCAAAACCAGAGCTGCCGGAAACACTAGCCTTGCCAGAGGAGCGAGGGGCGGAGCTAGAGCCAGAGCTGGAAGAAGAACCCGAAGAGGAACCCGATGAACTGGAACTAGAACTCGACGAAATCTCCATTGAAGTCGCCATGACAAGATTGAGAAAGAAAAAGGAGTCGAAGGGGTCAAATTACCTTAGGAAAATGCAGAAGTACACCAGAAACCCTTAGCAGCAGGAACTTGCAAAGCAGCTGAGCTTGGAGAGCGAGGAAGCAGAAAATCGAAAACCCTAAACCCTTTGGGGTTTCCGGTATTTATAAGGGAAGCATCGTTTGGAGCAACCAGTGAGAAGGCGACGCATGGCGAGTAGCGTATCCCAGAGTACGTGCCACCGGTATTTATAAGGAAAGCAGCATGCATAATGATGGCTTTTCATCGAAAGTCGCACCGTTTCCGCGGCCGCCGTCACCTCGATTTCTGGACCGTCGTCAACAAGTGACTCTGTGATCAAGTACGTCCACCTCCAAGAGCCTCAGTGAGAATCTCACGCATCAGGAATGTCTCATCGAGTAACAGTTATACTTCCTTATGTCCCATGCATGCTTGGAACATCAGAAGTGGGGGACTTGCTTGGGTAAATGGCCCAGATAGGGGGTCGGCCCATTACCCATAAACCGGACGAACGTCTTGGGCCATGAGAGTGCATGGCCCTATGGGTGTCTAGTCCATGAGATGGAGTAATGCAGCCCATGAGTATTGGGCGACGAACGTCTCCACCCATGATCCACGCCAACAAGTGACCCATTACAAGCAACACATCAAATTCTACTAAGGGCCGGAATACGAACGGCCCGCAACCCTTTGCAGCATCACCAGGAGCAGGCCCCAGATCCAACTGGACGTCCGTCTCCACAAATTAGACGGGAAACCCAGATTCTGGCGGGAGACGCATTTAATGTTAGAGATTTGGTGGTTGAGGCATCAACCACTCATAGCTTTCCACATCAGCATAGCCAACTACCCATTGGTGGTATAAATAATAGCATTTATTTCTTTGTAAAGGTTGACAACTTACGATATTTAGCACTCTAGCTTATATTCAACTCTTACTCGCAGCTCTTCTACTGCAGTGTAAGACGAACGACCGACGAGCCTTAGCAAGCGTATTGTATTGGGGAGTTATTAACTGATTAATAATACCTGATCTCTTACTTGCTACTGACTGTCTCTTAACTCATTTCACCTGTTTGTTGGGCTAGTTTATTCACACACACATACACCACTCCACTCGAAATCTTTGGGCTTACGTGTTGGACCCAAAGGTTGAAGGAATAAACCTCAACAATGGTAATATAGTTAATCTTATTCAAGATGGAAATTACAAACGTATAATTTTATTAATGCTTTTTTCATGAAAATGTAGTCTTATTTAAGACAATTACTAATAACAAATATGGAATAAATATTAAACCATACTATTTGACATATTTGTGTGAATCGGTGAATGTATGCTTACAATATAGAGAACTAAAGTCTTATTTATAGATGAGGAACAGAAGAGGAGGGAGTAAAGGAGAATAAACAAATAATGAAAATTAACCATACATAGACCATAAATAAAGTGCCAATAACAATCACTTGAGAACGAAAATAAAAATATGTCAGAAATCTCCAATGGAAAAGCATTGTGCAGATCAGACGAGGACTGGAAACGCGCAATAGAAGATGTGCTGCTAGCACTGCATATGTATATAGTTGAGTGTTGAGCCGTATAAATAATACAAGTATAGTATATCAAATAGTCTCAAAGTTGGTAGGAAATGTAAAAATTATACCAACAAATACCAATTCCAATTGTATGTATGGATGCTACTCGCCGGAAGGCGGTCGCTGTTTGCAGCAGCTACGGAATATACCGCAACAAGTGATGATCTCCCAGCAGCAATTAACAAAACAACTGCCCGCAACTGCATAATTAAACCAGATATATCACGGGGAGCCAAATTTGAGAAGTTATTTAAAGAACTAGTCCTTTATCAGTGCATTGCACGAGCTAGATATCCAATTAACCAACAACCGCATCCAAAACATAGAAAATGAATCTTTCCTTTTTGTTCCGTCTCACAGCTAACATTATCGTATATCAAATTTGATAAAATTCATGTGATTCTAACTCATTCTTACTTTATTCTTATGTTATGAATTCAATATCAATCTCATAAACACATTTTTCTTTATAATCTCATCACATCCTCATTTCTCAATGTAAGTTGATGAAGGTAGAAAAACATTAGTACACGTTACAAAAATAACAGTGGAGAGTGGAGGCACATTCTAAACTCTAAAAAATTTGTTTTCAAATATATAAATCCATCAATAAATAGAAAGTTCTCAACCTCAACAAATTAAGTAGAGATGCTAATAATAATGATCATGAAAATAACATTAATAAGTTAATTATTTACATTATTATAAGCAATTTTTGTTATTGTTTTTTATCTCACCAACAAATTAAATGTCTTGTTCTCAATTTCTCTAGTATCACCATTAATCACAACCATCTGTCGTACAATTCAGTGCCTTGTTTGAAAAGTGAAAAATGATCCCTACTAAAATACGGAGTACTAGATATCCTTTTCTCAAACTTATAACACATATTTAGGCACATAGTCGATCAGTATGGCGCTTACCGTACTACTGGTAGGGCATGTTGCAAATTATGAAAATAATTATCAAATAGAACTATAGTTCTTATGAAAACCACTCACATTATTATGAAAACATTGAATTTCAAAGAATAATTTTACCAATGGCCGATATTACAAGGTAACATATTTGTAATTATTGAAGATTGATTGTAAAAAATGATGTTTGAATTTAGGATACTTATGTTACCTTTGTAATTATACCAATGGCCGATATTACAAGGTATGTTACCTTATAAAAATTTTACCTTTGAATTTAGGATACTTATGTTACCTTTGAATTTAGCCATACAAATTTTACCAATGGCCGATATTACAAGGTAACATATTTGTAATTATTGAAGATTGATTGTAAAAAATGATGTTTGATTATAAAAACTACTCCCTCGTCTAAAAAAATACTTCCCACTTTCCTTTTTAGACAGTTTCTAAAAATACTTTCCACTATCCCTTTTTGGACAATTTGTATGGCTCATATTCATTTTGCATTTTTCTTACACAACCACAACCATATATTTCCACTTTATTCCACTTTCTTAATAAACGTGCCAAATCAAATCGGGAAGAATTTTTAGGAACGGAGGTAGTACCATATACTCCGTATGTGTGTCAGGTATCGATTCGAAAAGTGAAAGGTTGGGGTACAAAGCGTGTCAATATAATTATATAAATGTACAACTTCAAATATTGATTTGAAGCGTATAAATATATACTCCCTCCCTTCTTTTTTAAATGCAACATTGGACTTTTTCCACTATTCATGCGTTCTACTTTGATTCTATTTTATTTATTAATGTATTATAAATTATTTTTAAAAAAATATTATTAAATTCTTCTCATTTCAAATGTTCAAAATCTATTTTTTAAAGTTTTTTTACTAATAAGGAATGAAAGAGATTAATAGTCAAACTTGTGCGTTGGCAAACGTGAAAAGTGGACCCTTGCGTTTAAAAAAGAACGGAGGAAGTAGTACGGAGTACTTCAAATTAAAAAGTCAAAAGAAAGTAGAATCTTCTATTATACAAAAGCAAGATGAAAAATGAACAGTGTTCCCGCCGAAAGAGATGGGCCAAATACGGGTCAGGCTACAGAAAACGGGTCTGGGTTGTATGCTGATTAAAAGTACAATTCAATAAATGCTGCATTCATTACTGAGTTGCTACACGGATATCCCTACACTTTAGTCTAATGAATATTAGGTAGAAAGTGTATATGAGCTGTCCATGGGTGGCGGAGATCAAGGTAAATCTAATTTAGTGAGATTGTGTGGTACGAAATTATTGAGCCATGTGTCTATCCATTCAAATATCATGTCAGTAATGTTAAAAAGCCAATGCATCCTATTGACCGATGGTCATCAATGTTATACAAATGCAAAGTAGTTTTAGATTCGTAGTATATATATATATGCATGTGTTTTTTCATTAGTGGGATCCAGTGAGTGAGTATGAATATTGTAGTATAAATATGTCCAACAATGGAAGGGATATGTATGAGGTAGAGCATTTTAGGAGGGAGAGCCAATATCAGTTCTTTTCACCCATGACAGGTATATCATGTCATATAAACTTTTTTGAAAAATTATATAGATCAAAACAGTGTTTGAAGTAGTGTTTATTTAAGCTTAATAATCTCCAAAATCGATATGAGATCATGCCATTGTGTATTAAAATGCAGGCTAAAAGTACTCCTCAAGAACAAAACAAAGAAAAAAGTACTAGCTGCTATTGACCTCTTAATGCAGGAGTATTAATTAGTTTTCGCTTAGCCCTAAAAGTACGCATTGATCACTTATCGATACAAAATGTGATAAGCGACTTTTTATTGTCATGTATCATGTGTTATGTATCCTATGTTATGATGTTCAATTTCTTTCAAAAAAGATGTTATAATATTTTATTAATGCATGTCTAACTCATGGGTAATTTATCTTATTAATTTTCTGCTAAAAATTGTTGAGCAAGTGAATTAGTGATGGGCAATTTTCTTTTGCAGGTTACATATGCTAAAAATACTGGGAAACCAGTGAGTGCTAGAATCAGCAACTAAACGAGAGGGGCTAATTAGAACCAAGGGTTTATTTCATGAATGAAAAACAAGTTTATTTCATAAAATTCAGAACTATCACATGTTTTTGTAGCAAGTAAAGGTTACTGAAATAACAGAATGATAATCGAAAATGAGATTCATAACTGCCTTTGAAACTGCAGTCTTTGAACCTGGATATCCTATATATATTAATCTAATTAATATTTACATTTTCCTTATGAATATTGCATGATTGGCAACCATATTAAGGACCCAAAACCTGTTAATTCTACATTGTATATACAATAACCTAATAACTAAAAATAAGAAAAAGACATCTAGATCCGCCAACAAACCCTGCAAGATTAATGGTGAATGAGATTCCGGAATAAGAAAATATTAATACCAATATTATGGGATAAAAATATATTTTTTCTATATTTGAAAAACATTAAAACATTATGAGCATTACGAAAAGCACCAAAATGAAGTGTGGCTGATATGAGCATGTGTGTACAAATCAGATAACCAATTTAGATACAATTCACTGTAAAAGACAAAATAAAATCAGAAATTAGATAAGAATTGTAATAAATACAATAAAAATATCACAAATTAAAATAGATACAAAGTAAACATATACTACATCAATTATAGGAATAGGGTTTAGTTCAAAGTCATTATGTTTAAAGTATGATTCTGATTAGCAAAACCCAAATGAGTTTAACAATATTTAACAAACAATAGATTTTGAAGTCTCTTTCGCAGGTTAGAGAAATAAACAACATTCTGATTTTGTAAATAAGATTACACCCCATGACATTGAAATATTTTTGTTGGCCTTGATAAAGAAGACCTGGTATTTGATGTTTTACTTAGCAAGGCTGTCAAGTAGGACCAACTAAGTTAAATGCAAATCATAAAGAAATATAAATAATTTATATATGTGCGTGTGTTTGTTACCAAAATCAAAAGAGAAGTAAAGATCATAGCGATGAACAGAATATGATAATATCATTTTGTAAAATAGAAATATATAATAGACTTAGTAAAATATAATTAAAGCACAAAATATTATAATGGATATAAGAAAATCGGAATATATATATATAGACACACACATCACAGTCTCGAGTCATACATACAAAATCAAAACTGATACAAATATAGTAAGTGATATAGATGCAAAAAATCAAATTAAAGGAAGGAGATGTAAGGAATATACCCATCGATCTGCTCTAAGCCACCGCCAACATTCAGATGTTCGGGTAAGGGGTAGATCCCATAATAAATCGCAGTCACGACATTATTGAACCACCGAAATATAGTCAGATAAGAGGAAAATTGTCAACGATGATAAACAATAAAAAAGGCTTTGAGAAGAAATCACAGCGAGAAGTAACGAGACCATAGCAACTTGCGCTAAGAGAGGTTATCGGATGGTCTTGAAGATTCTTTAGATTGGTTGTACGGATGAAATAAAGTGGCTGATGGGAAATGTAATCTTATACTCCGTAGAGTGTATAGCTTAGGGTTTGAAATGGTTCAGTGTAAATGGTGAGTGTTGGTGGGCAGTGGGCTGAGCTGGGCTCATATGGGCTGATAAGGTCTGGATTGATAACATACGTAATACGAAGTATTAATTATTATTGCTAATAAGTTTAAAATGCATGTATATTGTAATAAAAATAAAGGTATTGAGTAAAATGCATATATATTGTAATAAAAATGGGGGTATTGACAATTTGAATTTATTTTTATCAAATAAACAATTATTTGCAATTATTTATGTTGTTATTTAAAAGTGCATGTCCTGAATTGTGTAAAAAGGTGTTTAAAATTTGATGATAAAAATATTTGTGGGAAAATTATGGGTTCAGAATTTCTTAAAAATAATACATACTACCTCCGTCCCCTTATGTTTGGGACAAAGAGGTGTGGTGGGATTTTTAAGAAAAAGTAGATATGTGTGGTTGATATTAAATTGATAAAGTGTGAATAGTGTAAGAATGAATTGTAGCCACCCAAACATTACCAAATATGGTATGAGACAAACTTAATGGGACAGACGAAAAAGGTAAAACGGGACAAACTTAGGGGGACGGAGGGAGTAACATCTAAAAAATCAACATATTGGCCTTGTTTGGTAAATGGCTGTTAGCCGTTGCTGTTAGCTGGTTGTGTCAGCTGTTTCCTAACTGCTGGTTGTGTTAGCTGTTTTGATCGGCTAGTTATGTTAGCTGATTATAAATAATTGTTTGGTAAAATTGGTTGTTTTGAAATGGCTGATAGAGTGTAAAAAGACATAATTATACTCATTGTATTTTATTATTGCTAAGAATGAAAATTTTATAACTATTGTTACTTCAATGATATAAATCTTTTTTATAACTGGAAATTTTAAAATTTGTGATATAAAATCTATTTTAATATCTACTTTGATATATCGAATGTTCATCATACTACAAAAATTTATAGTATCTAATTTTATAATCACCCAATCATCTAAACCAGAAACATCAAATTAATTGAAGATAGAGAGCATAACTAATAATATAAAATACAATATTAGTTAATAAGCATATATTATTTGTCTAGATAGTACTACGTATTTGATTAAACAAGTTTTGTTTAAAATAATTAGAGTAAATTGAACCAGCCGAATGAAGAAGCTGCTCCCCTTAGCTTCTTCAACCATCCATTTTTCAGTTTTTCAAACTCAACAAGCTAATTTTAAGTCATTTCCAAACATTATTATTAATTTCTTTGACTAATCAAACAGCTGAAATGGGTCAAACAAGCTAAAAGCTGACTGATAAGCCATTTGACAAACATATCCATTAAATTTTTGAAGGTCCTTCATAAGACGGCTCTGCTTGTTAGTTGTCACTTGTCAACACGCTCTAGCCGCATTCCAAATTAATTTTATCTTAGCTTTCTAATTTTGCAAACAAATGAATCATCCGCTCTCATTTTTCACCAAAATTTTTAATTTGAACTATTATACACACAAACATAATGGAGTTCGGCCTTAATTAATTATCACCCTCACCATCTTTTTCCTTGCTTCCCATTCGCACAGACCAATTCTTCTTTTTCTTTCCAGGTGATACAGCGCCCTTGAAAGGATAACCTTAATTAAGAGTTCAAAAGAAGAAGTTGAAAAGAGAGAATAAATGTGAGATAATTTAATTTGACAAATGTATGGTTGATTAAATATGCGTGATTTATTTTCATTGCTACCTGTTTCGCAATTTGCAAATTCAATATTTTTTGTCCACTAAAGTTAAAGACTTAAAAGTTAACAGAAAAGATCAGGTCCCTCCGGAGGGACGGGAGGGACCGTCCGAACTTTACTGTTTGGGGCGGTTCCCGGTGGAATTTTTTGATGAAATTTTTTGAGCATGTTCCTCATCAAGTCTAGTTTGTCCATACCAAATTTCAGCTCAAAATTCGACCGGGAAGGCAGTCAAATAAATTCTTGAAGCTTACTGCACATTCTGCGCATATATAAAGTGCAGTAAGTTTCAAGAATTTATTTGACTGCCTTCGCGGTCGAATTTTGAGCTGAAATTTGGTATGGACATACTAGACTTGATGAGGAACATGCTCAAAAAATTTTATCAAATCGGGAACCGCCCCAAACAGTAAAGTTCGGACGGTCCCTCCCGTCCCTCCGGAGGGACCTGAGCAGTACTCTAAAGTTAAATCCCTCCTATCGATAACTAATTCAATTTTAATATTTTTTTTGTTGTGAAAGGAACTCAATTCTAATGATTAAGATTTACATGTTTAGAAACTACATTAAAATCTTTATAATGTTGCAAAATCCAAATTAAAATATAGTTAAAATTTGATATCCTAATTAGGTGAATACAATGAAATCTAGGGGCGGAGCCAGGACTGTTAAAGTATTTATCCGAAACAATGGCATGAATATTAGTTCTCAACTTTCACATGACAAAAATATGACCAAATTTCAAGTGGATAAAAAAGAGAGTAAAAATATACTCCCTCCGTCCCCTTTTAAATGTCCAGATTTACCATACTGGGATGTCTCTATTTAATTGTCTCATACCTTATTTGTTAAAGTTTGTGTGGCTCAAAATCATTCTTACTTTATTCTTACTTTATCAATTAATATCAACCACACAAACTCACTTTTCTTAAAACTCGTGACACCCTCTTCTGTCCCAATAAAAAAAAGGGAAGGAGGCAGTAGTCCTTATGATTTAATTGAAAAATCCCTGGCCGTGTCCGATCCACCCGTTCCCGATCACTGCTTCCTTCCCTGCGTATTCTCTCTCCCAAATCTACACATCCACGCACCAGACCTCCCCTCTCTCAAATCTATGCATCCACCAGAGCTCTGCCATAGATAGCATAGTTCGCCGCCCCAACTAGGCGACGTCGCCCTCAGGTCCTTGCTATCTCCTCCTCAAATCTCTTCTTCGCTTTTCTTCTTCGCCGAAGATCGGATTTCGTGGTGTTATGGCGGCTAGAGTTCGGAGATGGAAAACGGCTACGGTTCTGCGGTGGCGGTGCTAGGTCAATAGACGAACAGAGGCTAGAATTTGGGTTTAGGAGGCGGAAAATGGTGGACAGAGGCGGCTAGGTCTTGGTCTGGGAGCATTGTACGATGTCAGCTAAGGTTGGGTCGCGGCGCAGGGAGCTGGGAGGTCGAGGAGGACTGGGAAGGTTGGAGGGGTAGCTGGAAGGTCCAGGAGGGGATTGGTGGCCGGGGTGGTGCAGCGACGGTCGAGAAGTGGTGTGGTACTATGGTGTGGTTTGGTGTTGGTTGGGGTATTGGCAGTGGTGTGGGGCTGGGCTAGGGAGTGGGGGGGACAGTGACGTTGGTGTGAGGGTGGGGGTAGTGGTGATGGTGTGGAGGTGGGGTAGTGGTGCAGGGGCTGGGTAGTGGTGGTCGCCGATTGTGGTAACTGACCAGAGGGCGGTGGTAGGAATTTGTGTCATTGCGGAGGCGTCACTGTGACCATTGGCGACGCAGATGTCACTACGGAAATGTCACTGTGGCCGGAGATTGGTAGGGAGATGTCACTACGGAGTTGTCACTGCGGAAGTGTCACTGTTGCCGGCGGCGGGGGTGGCAGTAACACGGGAGGCAACGGTGGCGCAGTGACACGGCCGGCGCCAGTGACATATGCGGCGGCAGTGACAGCCGATAGTGACGTGAAACAGTGAGATAAGATTTCACAAAGACTATATTATTCCAAATATATAACCATTCTAGTCAAATTTTTGTCCAAATATAAATGTGGTCACATTTTCGGAAATTAACTTTAGTTTAGTAATATTAAGGGAAAAAGCCCTATTTATCCCACACCGGAAAGCTATAAAACAATAAAACATTATATAAGGCTTCGGCCTATTCCTCCTATCAGGTTGACCTTTTACAAGGAATCCTAGATCTTAACATGGTATCAAAGTCAAGTCCGGTTGTGGTTTAACTGCTTTGTTTAGCACCCATGATTATGGGTAGCTTGTTAAGGGTCTGTTTGGCCTACTTATATACCCCGATATTGTCCGGTCCGGTTCGGGCTGAGGGAGAGTGTTAAAGTTTTTGTCGCACACCGAAAAGCTATAAAACAATAAAACACTATATAAGCCTTTTGAACTACTCCTCTTATCAGGTTGACTTTTTAGGATGAAACTTCGGATCTTGACAAGGACACTGTGTCAGACTAGACTCGTATGAATTGAATAATATTTTTGGAAATAAAAAACACACACACAAATTTTTTAGCATAAAAACTAAGACATTTAATTTTTGGATTTAGGGTGCGCCTAAGCTGGTCGTCTCTAGATCCGCCCCGGATCAATTTGGGAAGGAACTATATGCATATCCTTTTGGAAGATGAGTCTATTTATTACCGTACTAGCTATTAACTAGTACTCGTAGTTTCGAAGAAGATTTCAATATGATCAACGTGTTTCATTTACTTAAGCTAGCTAGTTTTAATTTGATAGCTAATTACCCCAGAAAATTATACTCCGTATTAATAACTTAACGTTGTGTGGGTAGGGCTTGAGCGGTCAAAAATACCTGGAGGGGGCTGCTGTTTTTGGATCGCCGGTTCTTCTTCCTTTCTCATGACCATGGCGGCGGCTCCTTTCTCTGTCATTTTACCATCCATAAGCGAAACTAAGCTTTATTTGGCAATGTGATATAATACCCCTAGCTAGCTTCTGCTTTTATAGCGTCATTATTCTCCGAGTGTAGGTACATACTCCGTATATTGAATTAATTCATACACTACTTCTAGAAGCCAGATTCTAGATACCGTATACTACGTATATTGCTCTTACTGGCTTGGTCGTCATTTCTTAAAATGGTCTAACTTTCTCCGGAACTAATGATGATGTCGGATGAATTCAAGTCGCCTTTCAAATATGTACTTCATTTAATCTAAGTTTTATTAGTCTTATTAGAGCAAATTAATTATAGCACTTAGACCAAGAGACTGGATTTCGATAACGGGAAGTCCCTGTAAAAATTTTGAAACAAAAAAAACCACCTGGCATGTAAAAAAAATCAAGAAATCTCAAGAGAAAATAGTCTATAACACATAATCGAACAATTAGAGTCTGAAAGAGGCAATTAAATTCATTCATGATTTTTTTTTTTGGTAAAATTCATTCATGAATTTAATATTACCTCCGTCCCGGTGGACTTTACCAAGTGCAAAGTAGGGGGAAGAACCGAACCGAAACCCGTAAACCGACTCTGACCCGGCCCGAATAATGTTCTCGGTCTGGGTTTTTTCTGTTTAACCGGCCCAATGCAAATATTAAAAAAAAAAACGGACCGAACCTGAAAATTTGGGCTCAGATACGGGCCCTAAATTCTATAACCCGGCTCGGACCGATAAAAACCCGAAACAATTAACTCTATATTGATCAGTGTACGTTTATATGTAATCAAGTTGCCCAGTACGTTTAAAAATGTTTATTTTTTTTTTAACGATCAACATGTATAGTTATCAAGCTATTATCCTCTAACTTAACAATACCCTTAACATGTTTTTGTGCGAAATATAGTTACTCAGTACATTTGTTTTTGATAAATTAGTAACCTAATACAATTAAAAATGCTCTTTCTCAATTATCAATATATATATTTAATAAAAGGTATGAAAACTATTATCCTACAGTACTTAACTACTTAATAAACTACTTGGATTATCCTATAATAACTGATCTACCTGGATTCTAATGACTAATAATCATAGATATAATTAAATTCTTGCAAAAAAGAAGATATAATTAAATTATAGTTACCGTACAACTAAAATTGCTTTCTTAATTAATTGCATGTCTTTGTATGAAATTTGGTTCCCCAATATAATTAAAAAGGCTCTTTTTCAACGATCCGTATAATATTTAATTAAATGTATGAAAATCATGGCTCTTAATGTATATAAACTACCTGGATATCCTAATTAAGTAAACTACGTGTATTTTAATGACTAAATAATATCACTCAAGAATGATATTTTTTAACAATTACATTCTCATTGAAACTTGAAAAGTATTTTTCTACAATTTATTTATTTTTTCTATTAGATATTCTTTTATAGAGAAATGACTGGGAATAATGATTTATCCTTTAATTTTTATCACATTCTATTTTGGGATCTTTAATTTTTATGGTTTGAAACATAAAATGCCACATGAAGTATAACTCAATCTCATAAATCAAAGGCTACGGGTTTAATGCACCAAACCCCCCTGTGATATGGAAATTCGGCGCATTAGCCCCCTGTGATTTAAAAAATGCGTCAAACCCCCTTGTGTTTTAATTAATTATGCGCAAAATCCCTTCTATAAACAAATCTCAATGTCAAATAAAAGAAAAATGATTTACATTTATGTCTGATTTAGAGATTTTTGACATATTTACTTGCATATTCAATCAGAATATTAGAAAAAGTGATTTCCAAATCGTTAAATTTATTCATAAAAGGGGTTTTGTGCATGATTAAGTAAAACACAAGGGAGTTTGACGCATTTTTCAAATCACAGGGGCTAATGTGCTGAATTTCTATATAACGAGGGAGTTTGGTGCACTAAACTCCAAAGGCTACAAAAAACAACCCTTTAGATTGAATTTAGATTAAGGGTTGTTAGTTTTACGCACATATTAATTCAATTATCTCATCAAAGAATTGGACTTATGTGGAACGCAGTAGTACTACGGCTTTGTTTGCAAAGACTACTCACAAGTGCTTTTGAACTTTTTAAAGTGATTTGGGAAAAAATGCTTAATAGTAAAAGTTAGGGAGTGTTTGCAATTGCTTCAACTTTAAAAAAAGGGAAAATGGAAACTAATAATCCAACCTTTTAGTGATCTTCTTTCAATAATCCCACCTTTTGATTATTCATGAATAATCCAACCTTTGCACCTCATCTTCATTCGTTGGTCCCTGATCGGTTAATGACCTGCTATTCCAAGTTATTTTTTTATCTTTGCAAAATATTATCTTTGTGAAAGATGAGATTTAAGGTATAATGATTTGCAAAGATAAGAAAATAGCTTGGAATAGCAAGTCATCAACCGGTCAGGGACCAGTGAATGAAGATGAGGTGCAAAGGTTGGATTATTCATGAATAATCAAAAAGTGGGATTATTGAAAGAAGATCGCTAAAAGGTTGGATTATTAGTTTCCATTTTCCCTTAAAAAAATGATTTTTTAAAGTGATTTGGGGAAAAGTGATTAATAGTAAAAGTTGGTAGTGTTTGAGGAAAAAGTGATTCTGAAAAAGTAAAAGTTGGTAGTGTTTGGTAAAATAAGTACTTTTTGTGTAATAGAAAAAGTGAAAAGCAGTTTAAAGCACCCTTCCACCTGCTTCCAGCTTTTAGCTTTTAAGTGATTAATTTAAGCAGAAGCTGTCATTTGAAAACACTCTTTTTAACTTTTTTTAAGCCAAAAGCTGAAAAGTGCTTTTTTTAATCAATTGCAAACACTCCTTTAGTTGTGTTTGAGAAAAAAGTGATTTTGTAAAGTAAAAGTTGATAGTGTTTGATAAAATAAGTGCTTTTTGTGTAATAGAAAAGTAAAAAAGTACTTTTCGCACAAAAGTCGAGAAATGCTTTTTTAAGTAGAACTTGCCATTTATCATAAAAAAAAAAGTAGAAGTTGCCACTTGAAAACACTTTTTTTAGTTTTTTAAGCCAAAAGCTGGGAATCGTTTTTTTAATTGTTTACAAACAAAACCTAAGACATGCCTTTTGTTTTTTGAACAAAACTGACTTAACTTATCATAACAGAACAAAAGCAGGTTACAAAGTGATAACTAGTCATCTGTCTACCGTCCGCCCTAGAACCAGACTTTAAATTAATCACCTTCGTAGAAGCAATATAATTTGCTGATCCCGCTATGGGCTTACCTGAGTCAAAGACTTGCAGACTAGACTCATCATCCCATGTTCTAAGTTCTAGAGTTTTTTTTGCTGGAAAAACACAGCACAACCAAAACAAAGTATGAATCCAGAACATGAAAAATAAAAACAAAGAGCAAGTAAAGTAAACAGTCTTTCAGCTAACATAGCTGCTCACAATCTCAGAAGCTCTGGCGGGTCTGGGTCCCAGCACCCGCCCCTATCCCTTTTTTTGGGATATCAAGTGCCATACTTTTCCCCACTTCACCACTCTCATCATGCACCTCCCAAGTACGCCTTCTCTTGGATTCTCTTGATCCTTCTTCAATCTGTGCCTCTTCGGTCTTGGTAGAAGCCACTACCCATCTCTGGTTGCTATCCCCTGCCTCATCTAGATCATGATCCTGAGTTGACACATCCCTACACACCTTATTGATGCCGCTCATTGAGAAGTTTCCTGCGGAGACCAGCCATTTACTGCCCATTGATGGCCTCCTCTTCCTGCCCCCTGCCTGTAGCCACGGGCCATACAACTTAGTAATTCCCTCTCCTCCCTTCTCATACCGTACAGGGCAAAGCTTCTCTACATGGCCAATAATTCCACAAACAAAGCAAAAATTTGGAATCTTTTCATATTTGAAATCTACCCAATATCCTCCCCCTTTGCTCCTCCTAATGGTGGTTCCAACTTTGAGAGGTTTACCTACATTTATGCGAACTCTAACCCTCATGTAAGCTCCCCATTTTTCATCAAACTGATCCTCATCCCACTTGACAAACTCTCCCACATAATTCCCAATTTTTCTAGCGGTTTCCAGATTTGCATTACTATACGGCACATTGTGTACCTGAACCTAGAGCTCAACCGATTCTAAAGGGACCTTAAGCAAGATATCTTCCGGCTTAATGGCCCTTAGAACAAGCAGATTATGGTCAAAAAAACCAAGGACCATTGTCCAGAACACGATTCATATCATTCAAGTAAAAGAATTTAAATAGATACCTCTTTTCTCCAATCTCCTTTATCGATACACCCTTTCCTGGACACCATAGTGTTGCCATAAGATCCCTGAAAATCTAAAATCGAACCACTTTGTTTGTAAGAATCGTACCAACCACCGGGAACTCCTCCGGTCGCTTGACTCCCATAGCCACAGATTCTTCCTCATCGTCATCAATGACCAAAACATCCGAAGCTTCGCCGATCCCTCTGCCACCGTGCTTCTCGGCCAAGCTGCCAATCGGTCCGTCCTCCGCTCTCCTCTGTTCGCGAACAATCCTCCGCGCAAACTGCTCGTTGCCATCCATGAGATTCTCGCCAAAATAGTGCCTCACCGCCTGACTCCTACTAGCCTACTACGAACCTCGTCGCCGCCCCTAAGGTCGGCCGAGTAGAAGCGCAACCGATCTACCGCCGCACTAAAAGTCGGCGAAAATTTCCGAACCCTAAGATAGGAAAAGGCCGCTAGATAAAAGTTTCTGCAACCTAAGACATGCCTTAAGAAGCTCAAATATGAGGTGTTGCATAAGCTAATTGACAAAGAAACAAATGGTCTAAACAACAACCTTACCGTGTTCAATTATTTTGATATGTATACTTCTATGAATTTAAATTTGTGATATGTGATAGAGAATTACAGCGTACAAATCAAGTCCGTGTTAACGTTGCATACAACGTCGTTTATAGTAATTTGTAGTTTCTCTTCCCAAAAAAAGGATGACACCCCATCCCTGAAGGCCCCCCAACATCGACCGGACGGCACGATGGGAGGATGTAAATTGGACT